ATACATACATATATAGTATATATGTATATATATATATATATACACACACATATATATGTATATATATGGCAAAGACAATGTGACAATTCACCAAATGTTCATGTCTTCAGAGCCAACCTTCTGACCTGACATAATTTGCCATGAGCAAGGGCCAAGAATTAACCTTAATGAAAGAATTTTAAAAATTGAGCTAATGAAATCACAGCAGTGGCCTCTGTTGGAATGGCTGAGAAGTGTCTGGGCAAGGTTCCCATCCACATTCTCACACAGGACAGGAAGGAGCCCCAAAAGTTCTAATTTCTTCCAACAGGGACTTTTCACACAATCTATGTGTGGGTGCAGAGGTTGGGGAAAACATTTCATCTCTCAGTCTCTGTCTTTTGAGTCTCTTAAGAAACAAAGAGTAGGGGCTGGGAAGGTGGCTCAGTGGTAGAGCGCTTGCCTTGCATGCATGAGGCCCTGGGTTCGATTCTTCAGCACCACATAAGCAAAACGAAAAAAGCCAGAAGTGGCGCTGTGGCTCATGTGGTAGAGCGCTTGCCTTGAGCTGAAGAGCTGAGGGACAGTGCCCAGGCCCAGAGTTCAGATCCCACGACCAGACCCCCCCCCCCCAAAAAAAAAGAAACAAAGAGTAGCCGGGTGCCAGTGGCTCATGCCTGTAATCCTAGCTACTCAAGAGGCTGAGATCTGAGGATCACGGTTCAAAGCCAGCCTGGGCAGGAAAGTCCGTGAGACTCTTCTCTCCAATTAACCACCAGAAAACCGGAAGTGGTGCTGTCGCTCAAGTGGTAGAGCACTCGCCTTGAGCTGAAGAGTGCACTGAAGAGTGCAGGGATAGCACCCAAGCCCAGAGGTCAAGCCCCATGACAGAAAGGAAGGAAGGAAGGAAGGGAGGGAGGGAGGGAGGGAGGGAGGGAGGGAGGGAGGGAGGGAGGAAGGTAGGGAGGGAGGGAGGAAGGAAGGAAGGAAGGAAGGAAGGAAGGAAGGAAGGAAGGAAGGAAGGAAGGAAGGATTTATCTCAAACTGAAAGGGACTAATTTTCATTCTAAAATGAAGTTGTTTGTACCAGCTCAGAGGTAAGTAGGAAATAGTGACAACACAAACATCACAGCGAGAACCAGGGCCTTGAAGACCTCTCAGGCACTCTGAGTTCCCTCATTATGCACTCAGATTATCTGCCGGAAACCCAGAAGGTACCCTTTTCATACCAGGCTCATGATATCAGTCTAAATGTATCTCTTAGCCCACCTACCTCCTCTACTCAAGAGGCCACCATGGACTAAAACCCACTCAGCAGCTGCAATTACTTGGATTAACTTAAATATTCTGTGGTTCATACTGTCCTGGGTTGTCAGTTCGGATAATTACAGACAACGAGAAAATGACAACAGAGGTCAAATGACACCAAGTAGAGCAGAGCTTGGGTAGAACGTGGGATATGAAAGCACAATTATGTCTTCACCCACTCCACTGGTGGTACATTCGGAGGGTTACTTTGTTTATGAACCAGGTATAAACAAGTCATCATGGGATATTAAAAAGGTAAATTTAAGAATTTCTAAATTCTCTGCTACATTCTTTACGCTCCTCAATAATATGATAAAATTAAAAACTTAATAGGATAGCCTCCTTGGTTGTTGACTTCATCTGCTTTCCTAAGAATCTAATCCAAATCTATAGTTGTGATTACAACTTCAGGAACTGGAATTCAAATTTAATAGAAAACTGCAAAAAGCAAGAACTCTTTCTTTTTTTGAACCTAAGTTAGGTGTCCTCCGGGAGAAAGGTCACTAAAGGGCAAACATCCATTTATTGTGGTCTTCTCCCTATTCAAAGATCTTCCCTCTAAGTCAGCCACACTCCTCACTGACAGGAATGCATACAAATGATTAGGGGCTCCACAGCAGCCCTTCACTGTCCTCAAGCAAGGGAACCAGCAATCCTCCTCCTTTCCACAGCCCAGGTGAAAGTGTGACACTGAACAGGACAATACTCCCTTGTAACCTACTGCTTTCTTAGAATAAAACATGGTATCCCAAGAGGAAAATCCTGGGGCAAGGGCTTCAAAGGAAAGCAAAGGCCTTGTGAGAAGCACACAAAGAGGCAGCAGGGAGGTCCCATGCACATTGACACCAGAGGCAGGAGCCTGTTCTGGAAAGAGTAAAAAGACTCAGATCACTGAAGTAGCTTCACAAAAAGGAACCCTTCAGAATGAAGACCATCTAATAAGTTGCATCTTGTTTATTTCAGCTGCTAAGAGATGGTTAAAAAAATACTTGTTTTAATTCTGAGATCTTGTGTAAATAAACCAAGGCAAAAATCTTACAGGCTATAGTCCACTGGCACCACAGCCGGCAATGGCACTGTTCTCAAGCCCACTTTGGTAAGCTTGTTTTGCATATTAAATCTCTAAGGCAAGAATTTAAAAAATAGGCACATCCAGTAGTGCTGCTACTAGGAAAAGCTCCCTTCAATAAAAGTATATTTAAAACACACAGTAGCTAAGTGCAATGGTGTGTGTCTATAATCCCAGCTACCTGGGAGGCAGAGAGATCACAAGTTTGAGGCCAATCTGAGCAACTTAGTGAGACCTTGTCTCAAAATAAAACTAAAAGAAGGCCTGGGGGATAGCTCAGTGATGGACTGTGTGCTTAACACCACAAGAGAAAAATTAAAAATAAATAAATCACAGTATCTTCACTTTCACACACCAAGGAAAGCACTGTAGCAACAAATGTGGAGTTTAATTTCTTGTCAGTTGCAACGGCAGGTACTGGACAGCAGTGGGAGCACGTGTAAAGGCAATCGGTACTGGTGCCTCAGGATTCCTGCTCTAGATGAAGACCCAACAACTTAGAAAACCTCCTCCTGCATCTCTACAACTCCGTCAGCTAACGTGCTTCATGCTTCTCATCAGCTATCATCCCTTAGAAGATACTATGAATTAGGTGAAGAAGGCTAGACCCTCAGACATTTTTTCCTCTTTGGCAAAAATCCTTTATAAATAAATATTTGCCTGTCCATTCAACAAATGAATGTATGAAACTCAGTGATCACATACAATTTCTTTAGGATACAAATGTAAGTGCTTTGAAAGCCACATGCAGAGAATATTAAGGTCAATGCCCCAAGGTTGGAGTATGCAGTTAGTGTTTGAGTGTATCAATAAGCATTTTAATCTGGAATCAATTTGTGTTAAGGGAAATATCCACACAGTTAAGTGCCCTCTTACATTCTCAGGATCTTCAGAAATCTGGCTCTTTTGCTATCAGCAAAAAAATAAAAAAATTAAGCAACAACAGCAAAAAAAAGAGATCCAACCAAAGTTTCAATATGTTAGGGTTTCAAGAAAACTTTGATTAATTTCAAGTAAGTTTATCAGACAGACTATACTAGCCTAGTTCTGATGTAAATATCTTAACCCACCCCACCCAAAAAACAGCAGAGGCTGTAATTCACATGAATTAGATGATGATATGAAACTTCTAATGAGACTGTGGAGTGTTTTTAAATGGATGAGCACAACACAAAAGTCAACTAAAGAATATGACTATATATGAAATGAATGAAGAATTTGTTTTGTATTGTTAATTAACCATTAAATTCTGGATCTTAACATAATTTAGAAAATATTCCCTTTACCCTTCTCCATTGAAGATACATTTATATCCAAAGAAATCAGAGTTCTTGTCTGGAAAGGCCATGATTTAAGTAGAGTGAGGGCAGCCAACAGACTCTAAATGCCCAAAATGTGTCTTCTGAAAACCAAAAGACTACTGCCATTTTTACTAAATGTAATAGAGTAAAAAAAACATTACAAGCTGGGCCCTAGTGGTTCATGCCTGTAATCCTAGCTACTCAGGAGGCTGAGATCTGAGGATCATAGTTTGAAGCCAGCTGGGGTAGGAAAGTCCGAGAAACTCTTCTGTCTAATAAACTACTCAGTAAATAAGCCAGAAGTGGTGCTGTGGCTCAAGTGATAGCGCACGAGCCTTGAGCAAAGGAGTCTAGGCAGAGCCTAGGCCCAAAGTTCAAGCCCCAGGACTGCCACAAATAAATAAATAAATAAATACAGATTCTTCAAAATTTGAAAAAGTTAGTAATTTATATTTATCATGTATCTGGCAGTGGCTTAAAAAGTATCAAAACCATTTAATTCTCATGTTTAATGTAAAATTATGAATTATTCCTAAAACTATGAATAGGTATATTTACTATGAATAATTATTAAGAGGTAAGAAACCTGGCTGAGCACTGATGGCTCAAACCTATAATCCTAGTTAATCACATCTGAGGATTATAGTTCGAAGCCAACCTGGGCAGGAAAAATCTGAGACACTTATCTCCAATTAACCACCAGAAAACTGGAAGTGATGCTGTGCCTCAAAGTGGTAAGAGCACTAGCCTTGAGTGAAAGAACTCAAAGACAGCTCCCAAGCCCTGGGTTTAAGCCCCAGGACCAGTACCGCCCCCCTCCAAAAAAAATAGTGAGAGAGAGAAACCTGGGAGTCTTTAATTCCTCTTTCCTACTTAGGGGAGGAGCAGGAAATGTTTCTCTCTTTGCTTAAGTTGCCCCAGTTTATTCTTTTTTAAGAGAGAAAGAAAAAAAGGAAGAAATCTGATATTAAAGGAAATCTCTGTGAATTTTTAAATGCCAAATAAAAAGTTGAGGGGCTGGCACAGTGTCTCACTTAGGACTGCCTTAAATTGCAGACACACTGCCAGATTTATGACCTGATTAAATCCAATTCATGGACTTGAATTTTCAAGCATGGAAGAGTAACGCACATTTTGCTTTGCCACAGAGATTGGGAAACCACAATCATGGGCTCAAGGAAAAGCACCATCACCTCAGTCACAAAGTATCACTATAATCCAAATGGGCCAGAGGCAGGGTACCTGCCATTCTCTGGCCCCAAGGATCAGTAGAGGATCAGTAGGTCACTCCTATTTTTCAGTACTAGTATCTAAAAAGAATTTAGATAGTTGGAAGAGTTTACCTCAAGATCGCCTTTAGTAATTGATTCTTCTTCAACTCGGAACTGAAGGTCCTCAACCTTCCTGTGGAATAAAAGTAAAGCACGTAAGTAACTAAGGGAGGGAACTTACCGATTCCACTTGGAAATGTGTATCAGTACTCTGGAGAACCAAGCAGGTGATGATAAAAAGAAATGCCTTGAGTCAAAGAGAATAGACATGGGTCTTCAGCGTTCTTCTAGAGTTGTACTCTAATAGTTTAGAAAACTGCAAAGGCTTATCCAGGAACTCATTTCAAAAGGCATGAGGTAGGAATTTAAAAAAACTGGTTTCCTTGCTCACAAACACCAGAACCCATCTATCAAAATAAAATCAGTCTAAAAAAATCTTTTTTTATGCCATAAAAAGATTTCAAAATTTAAGTGTATAATTTATGCTTTCCAATATAGAACACATAAGGCAGAGCAGTATAGAAAACAATGCCACTCCCACATCTGATTTTTTTTTTTTGGTCAGTCGTGGGGCTTGAACTCTGGGCCTGGGCGCTGTCTCTCAGCACTTCAGCTCAAGGCAAGAGCTCTACCACTTGAGCTACAGGACCACTTCCAGTTTTCTGGTGGTTAATTGGAGATAGGAGTCTCAGACTTCCCTGCCTGCGCTGGTTCTGAATCACAATCCTCAGATCTCAGCCTCCTGAGTAGCTAGGATTATAGGTGTTAGCTTCACATTTGATATTTTATAGAAGTTAATGGTTTTCTTGCATAGAGATCTCAGACTTAACACCTCCTAGATAATTTTAACATCTATTTCAAGATTAGAATAAAAAGATTCCTATCTATTGAGGAGGCTGAGGTTGTGGTTTAAAGCCAGCCTAAGCAAGGAAGTCTGAGACCTATCTCTAATTAACCACAAAAAAAGCTGGAAGTGGAGCTGTGATTCCAGTGCTATCTCTGAGCAATAAAACACCCAGGACCAGCAAAAAAAAAGGGTCGGGTGACAGTGGCTCACACCTGTAACCCTCACTACTTAGAGATCTGAGGATCACGGTTCAACCCCAGCCTAGTAAGGAAAGTTCATGAGACACTTAGGTACAATTAACCACCAAAAAGCCAGAAACAGAGCTGTGCCTCAAGTGATAAGAGTGCTATCTCTGAGCAAAAAAGCTGAAACAGTTCCAGGCCCTGAGTTCAAGCCGCAGGACCAACACTCATCAGATGCAAGGATAAACTCACAAAGACTAGGTAACTATAACCTTAATATCCCCTCACCAGGAATAGCTCCAGAATTACCCTCAGAATACCAAATTGGAAACACCAGTTTAGCATCCAGGGGATACTTAATAAATATATGTTATAATGAATTGGGTTATTTTTAAATGATTCCAAACTTCTTGAATAAAGTCAAATCGAAGCACACTCTTCATCCAGCATGAGCTTAATTTTTGCTACGGACAAGTTGGTTCTTTGGTTTTAAGGGTGGACAACATCAAACTGTTGCCAGGAAACTTTTACTAAGAAAAGGAAAAGGCCATACTTGCACCAGAGAACCCTTAAGAGATCACCTTTTCTCCTCTTCCAATTGATTGAGAAGTTCCACCTTCTCCCTATCAGCTGCTTCCACCATTGTTCGAAGCTGGTCCATCTTGGCCTCCAATTCCAGGACATGCTAGGGAAGTAGAAATGTCAGTGAGCAGCCTATCTCTGGTGCAGATACAGACCCAGGAGAGCATTACCATGGTAGATGGGCATCACTCTACAACCCTGTCACACTCGACTTTCTATTTTAATAGCTTATTCTCAACAGTAATACTAGAAACTACATGATGAAAAACCACACCATTCAGGCAACAAGGGACAATGTTACAACAACTCTCTTTCTTTCCAAAGGTGAAACATAAATTGATAGTAATCTACAAACAGGACCTGCTAAGGTCCTAGTAAACAAGTGACTTAACAGAGAGGGGTCCAAAGACTTAGATATAAAGATCAAAAGGCTGACATAGAATCAAAAAGAGTAAAACTTCATTTTTATGACAACAGAAACTGATACATAAGTCACAGCTTTCCAGCAAAGAAACTGATAGTCATTTCTGTCTCAAGACTAACTCCCTGGCTCTGAGAACACATTTCGGCTTCCTCACTCCATTGAGAAACCATCACCATCTCCACAAGAACGTCAGTGCCAGACTTCACCTGGTCATGCCCATCCCGGGCCAGGGCTAGCTCCTGCTCTATCTCCCCCACGTGGCTGGTGGCCTTGGCCACCTCGGCCCGCTCCAGGTCCCGCTCAGCCAGCAGCTGCTCAATGTGCTGCTGTTTCTCCTTCAGTGCCTCCTGGAGGGCAGTGGTACCCGATATCTTGCGGGCATAGCGGGAAGAGGTTTCAGTCAACTGCAAAGGAAAGTCAGAGAGGTGAAGGGCGATGGTGCTATCAGGCAGGCAGGAAGCAAGCGATGCATGCACAGCAGGTTTCTCCTCAGCAAAGCAAAAGTGTTGCCCCAGCTCACAGGTTTGTGAAGTATTAGGGAAAGTAACGTATCAACATCAATGTGTAAGGTGACTATATGGCTCACAGTAGGTATTTGGAGCTTTGCTGCCTGGGTCTGGTAGGAATCTAGAAAAATTCCACAGTACCCACTTGAAAGGCTTCTCTCAACTCCTTCAGCTTGACCTTAATAGTTATCTTGTTGTTGGGCTGAAAGCATAGCTCATGTGGTCCAGCACTTGCCTAGTAAGCACAAGGCCTTGAGTTCAAACTTCAGTACCACCAAAAAAATAAAATAAATTATCTTCTTGTGATGAAATTTGGGGCAACTTTTTGATCCTGAGATTTGTCACTAAAACTTTCTAAAAGCTTCTTAATCTTCTACATACTATTGTAACAAAGAGACCAGCCTTTGTTGGGCACCAGCGCCTCACACACTTGTAATGTAGCTACTCAGGAGGCTGAGATCTGAAAATATGTTCAAGATGATGGTTCGAAGTCCAGCCTGGGCACAAAATTTCATGAGACTCTGATCTCCAATTAATCAGCAAAAAGTTAGAAGTGGAACTGTGACTCAAGTTGGTACCGTGTTAGCCTTGAACAAAAAAGCTCAGAGACAGTGCCCAGGCCATGAGTTCAAGTCCCAGGACTAGCAGGGAGAGAGAGAGAGATCAGCCTTGGAGCCACAAATTGTTCAACTGATTAAATTTTTATCAAGATTGTCTTCATCTTTCTTTCAAAAGAAAAAGCACAGAAGAGTTTCATCCAAGAATCCAGCCTCCAGAACTTCAATCCCAATCACCAAAGATATTTATAAATCAGCTATGATGAGTAAATGCTAGTTATATAAGGGTGGTGCCTTGTGTGGTATGTGTGTGTGCATGCATGTATATGTGTGTATGTGTATGTCAGAATATATACCCAGACACATATACTTATGCCTTAAAGAATATATAATGTGCCGGCCACCGGTGGCTCATGCCTGTAATCCTAGCTACTAAGGAGGCTGAGATCTGAGGATCGTGGTTCAAAGCCAACCTGGACAGGAAAGTCCACAAGACACTTATCTCCAATTAACCACCAGAAAACCAGAAGTGGTGCTGTGACTCAAGTGGTATAGAGTGCTAGCCTTGAGCTGAAGAGCTGAAGGATAGCACCTAGGCCCAGAGTTCAAGACCCACAACTGACAAAAAAAAAAAAAAAAAAAAAATATATATATATATATATATATATATTATGTGTATGTATATCTATGTGTATATATATGTGTGTGTATATGTGTGTGTGTGTGTGTGTATATATATACATACACACACACCATATATATTATATACACAACGTTGGAGGAATGGAAGAAGTTTGTTGGGGCTGGGAAGATGGCTCAGTGGTAGAGTGCTTGCCTGGCATGCATGAGGCCCTGGGTTCGATTCCTCAGCACCATATAAGCAGAAAAAGCCAGAAGTGGGGCTGACGCTCAAGTGGTAGAGTGCTAGCCTTCAGATGAAGAGCTGAGGGACATCACACAGGCCCAGAGTTCAGACCCCACGACCGACAAAAAAAAAAAAAAAGAAGTTTGTGTAGGGCTGGGAAGGTGGCTCAGTGGTAGAGTGCTTGCCTTGCATGTATGAGGCCCTGGATTCAATTCCTCAGCACCACATAAGCAGAAAAAGCTGAAAGTGGCATTGTGGCTCAAGTGGTAGAGCACTAGTTTTGAGCTGAAGACTTGAGGAATAGCCCCCGGCTCAGAGTTCAAGCCCCAGACCAACCAAAAAAAAAAAAAGGAAAAGAAAAGAAAAAAAAAGTTTGTGGAGAAAGAGAAATAAAGGGTAGGGGGAAATGAGGAAGAAAAAAAGAACAGAGGAGAAGAAGGAGGGTCAAAGGGAGGGAGACCACTGGGATAGGGAGTCCTAGGACTCCAAGAATGTGTTCAGAGGCTGGGAAAGTGGCTCGGTGGTAGAGCGGTTACCTTGCATGCATGAGGCCCTGGGTTCGATTCCTCAGCACCACATAAGCAAAAGCAAAAAAAAAAAAAAAAAAAAAAAAAAAACAAGCCAGAAGTGGCGCTGTGGCTCAAGTGGTAGAGTGCTCACCTTGAGCTGAAGAGCTGAGGGAAAGCGCCCAGGCCCAGAGTTCAGGCCCCACAACTGAATCCCCCCCCCCCCAAAAAAAGGGGGAGGGAGGATGGGAAGGGATAGGCAGGGGAAATAAAGGAGGAGGCTACAATGCTTATAAGAAATGTACTCATTATCTTGCCCGTGTAATTGTAACCCCTCTGTACAGTATTTTCACAATAAAAAAAAAAGAATGTGTTCAGTTATGTCACCTGCTAATCCCTGATGCTAACTGTTAGCAGGTAACTGTACAAAGTAAATTATATTCTGTATACTAGGCTCTGAACGCTCCAAGTAAGGACCTGGCCTTCTCCCTTGACAAGCATTATCCAAGTCCTTGACTCGGCAGTCACTGGCTAGATCAATAGACTTTGCTTCATCTTCTGCAAACAAAGCTTCATTTGTTGCCTGAATGTTCTCTTCATCAGTCTATTAAGCCCTCTTCACAGGGTGTAGACTGAAAAGGTAGTGAGTATCTTTCATTTAATAATTCAGCAATTGGACGTCTATGAGAGCCAAAAAAATGCAATAAAACCCAAGATGTCGTGGAGGCTGGAGGATGGTGGGATGTCTCTTTGAAGAAAAAGTCTCAGTGCCCAAGGCACTTGTCTTCTAAGAAAACTGTATACAACATTTCCTGCTCTTAAGAGTCTTTAAGTCTGCCTTTTCAATCTCTATGTTTCTTGAACTATAATCCTTTTCATTTCTATGTTAAGCTATAGCTACAAGTTTAAAGAAATTACAAAAGAAATGTGGCAACTTAGATGTTCTTTGCTGCTTCATTTTGGGAAATTTTTTGAATTATATAAACATACTTGTAGGGAAGGGATTAGTTTTTGTCAGTCATTTGACCAATTTTCTACTTTAATTATATGTTTAAATTATACTTTTTCTTCCTAACATCTTCCTGAACATTAAATGTGAGGATCTCAAATCCTGTGCAGAGCTACCCAAGGGCCATTGGAGAGTACTTTTAAATTTTTAAATGTGTTTTAAAGGAAAACAGAGATACTGAAGAATTTTAGTTTACACCATGATGACTAGATCAAGGCAAGAGAATTTCAACATTAGACTGTACTCCATTTCTTTCAATAGCAGGTCTTTGCAAAGCCGAGTTCTGACTACAGCTAAGACAAAAAGCAAGTATTGTGAAAAGCTAATGAAGCATGGGAAATGAAGGTCACAGTGATAAACAGTATTCCAAGGTTTAACAAGGTACCCAGTGCCCAATGGGTGCTTACTCCCAGTAAGTTACTGGGTATTAAAAAAATAAATTTGAATTTGAATTTTTAAACTAAATTTTAATCTTTCTTTCAATTTCACTGTACGAGGATAGAAATATATCTCTGAGCAAGAGAATTTAAATCATACTTTCAATTATTTTATAACTTCTTCATACTCTTTCACAGTAATATTTGATTTAGAAACTATAGCCACCCTTCATAATGACACACAGAAACAAGTAGTCTCACAAGACACTTTCGTCTCTTTCAACAATTTTCTTCAATAAATAAAATGAGATAAGAGAAACTAGAACTGGTTTGCATGTAAGAAGAAAGACGGGTGGGAGCAGGACAATATCGTATTTCCCAATTGTTCTTAGAATAGCAGAGTAGACAACGTCCACATTGGAATTTGCTGAGCCTTTCTGAACAAGGCTTTGTCCACATGCTGGAGCTTGTTCTTCACTTCCTTCCACTCGCTTATTATGACTTCCTCAGAAAAGTCCACTGATATTTTTTCTAACGAGGATGTAGTCTTTTTTATGGGATGTAAACTGAAATAGTTCAAGCAGTATTTCTTTTTCCTGAACTTAAAAGGAAAAAACTCTGGCTGGAGGCATGCCTCAAGTGGTAGAGTGCCTGACTGGCAAGCAAAAGACCCTGAGTTCAAATTACAGTACTACCAAAAAAAGAAAGAAATTCCAGAGAAGCAGGACCACTCTCTTCCCCCTCCCCCCTCCCCACCAACCTCCACTCCCTGCCCCTAGCCTTCACTGCTGCCTTTCTCTGCTAAATCATCATGGTACAGAAGACAAAATGAGATCAAGGGCTAGAACCTTGCTACCAAAGATCCACAACCAACTCTTGTCTGAAGCTCACCATCATAAAGCAGAGATTCAAAATGCATTTGGAATAGAATTTTGTACTGCCATTTCTGAGGTATCTGCTTAGTGAAGCAGATAAAAGAAAATAAAGTTGAGGGCAGGGGTCAGGTGAAAGCAGTCATTACCTTTGACCCTAGTAAATACCAAGTTAACAAAAAGAATGAGGCACCATTTTAATTCTGACGATTCTATTTTCTTTACTCTAGATGGGACATGGGCAAGGGGATGATGAAAAAAGAGACAACTGAACACCAATGACATTTCCCAGCACCGTTCCAGCTCCAGAAGTGGAGGCCCGTCTACCTTCCTTTGGCTTCCATCAGGAGCGCTCCACACATAAACTGCTTTCAGGAGATTAGATTGTATTAACATGACATTACATTTCTAAGAACACACCTTTTCTCAAAACACTCTGGTTCCTAAAACTGTTTGAAATCAAAATGAGATGTACATATTGAGGAAACTTTCCTCAGAATTTTAGAGAAAAGAATAACAAGTTACTACAGATTCACCAAGTACTAGTAGATTTTTAACCTTCAGGAATCTACAAAGTGCTACTAAAAACTATTTCAAAAACCTTCTTGATGTCTGTCCGAATTACATTTTTCAAGACTTCCACAGAACTTCATATCTAGTTATGGACCACAATGAAGACAAGAATAAGCAAAGCAGAACTAAGGATGCTGTGCATGCCTGGAATGCAGAGAGCAAAGGAAGGAAGAAGGGAGGCTTACTAGTCCTGTCCGGCTAGGCTTGCTGCTCACAGAGGAGGCCACAGAGCTCATGGAGCTGAGGGAGGAGGCAGATGGGCTGCGCTTCAAGCCTGCAGGCGTAGTGGCCATCACACGCCTCACGGCGGCGGCCTTGGCTTTGGCTGGTGTTGTAGAAGGGAAGCCAATCTTGGTCACTTTGTGGACAGGAGCAAACAAGCCATATTTGGGTTGACACTGAAAATACCTTTCAAGAACAATGAGAACAGTAGCAAACAAAATTTAACTTCAAAAAGCTAACAACTATAACCAAGGACTCTTCCACCTTATAACATGTTGACTGGTTTTCTGGAAATTCTAACTCCAAGCTGGGGTTATTATATATTACAATGCGGCATTCACATGTATGTGAATTGACAAATATGTTTAAGGATGTTTTAGGGCACTAATAACAACATGCTCATATTTAGTTGAAGTTCTATGCCCAGGGCACAAATATTTCTACCATTTGATAAAAGTAAATTAAAAAAAAGTTCAGCCGGGTGCCCGTGGCTCACAACTGTAATCCAGATCTCAAGAGACTGAGATCTGAGGATCAAAGTTCCAAGCAAGCCAGGGCAAGAAAGCCCATGAGATTTTTTTTTTTTGGGTCTGGTCGTGGGGCTTGAACTCTGGGCCTGGGCGCTGTCCCTCAGCTCTTCAGCTCAAGGCTAGCACTCTATCACTTGAGCCACAGCGCCACTTACAGCTTTTTTTCTTTTTGCTTATGTGGTGCTGAGGAATCGAACCCAGGGCCTCAGGCATGCAAGGCAAGTGCTCTACCACTGAGCCACCTTCCCAGCCCCAAGCCCATGAGATTCTTATCTCCAATAAACTACTCAGAAAAGGTTGAAGTAGCACATGGCTCAAGTGGTAGAAGGCTAGCCTTGAGCACACAGAGGCTCAGGGACAGAGCTCAGGCCCTGAGTTTAAAGCTCTACAATTGGCCAAAAAAAAAAGAAGTGCAGCTCTACAAACACTCATTCATTTCTATTATACAGTTGTGGGGGCATCTATTTCAGCACTACCATGTCCAAGAGGGACACATGATGTCATACAATTCCAATCCTACCTTGTTCCAGCAACTGCACCATCATTCTTCCCAAGAGGTTCATCTAATTCCACACCACACCATTCCCCCTTGGCAAAGTCAGTCTCCCCAAGGAATCGGACTACACCAGCCTTAGTGCCACCAACCTAGAAGAGAAGGTAAAACTGAAGAAATGAACATAAACATAATTCTATAGCTTCATCTGTTTGTTTGTTTGGTCATGGGGCTTAAACTCTGGACCCAGGCACTGTCCCTCTGCTCTTCAGCATAAGACCAGTGCTCTAACACTTGAGCTACAGTGCCACTTCCAGTTTTCTGGTGGTTTATTGGAGTCTCACAGACTTTCCCTTTTCTGCCCAGGCTGGCTTTCAACCACGATCCTCAGATCTCAGCCTCCTGAGTAGCAAGGACTACAGGCATGAGCCATCGGGCATCTGGCTTCATCTGTTTGTTTTTTGTGTTGGTCTCAAGTCCCAAGTCTGGAACTCAGGGCTTGATATTGTCCCTGAGCTTCTTTTGCTCAAGGCTAACACTCTACTACTTGAGCCACAGCCCCACTTCCAGCATTTTTTTTGGGGGGGGGGGGGAAGGGATGGTCATGGGGCCTGAACTCTGGGCCTGGGCACCTGTCCTTCAGCTCTTCAGCTCAAGGCCAACGCTCTACCACTTGAGCCACAGTGCCACTTCCGGCTTTTTCTGTTTATGTGGTGCTGAGGAATGGAACCCAGGGCATCATGCTTGCGAGGCAAGCACTCTACCACTGAGCCACTTTCCCAGCCCCACTTCCAGCTTTTTTGTGTGTGATTAGAGATAAGAGTCTCCAGGATGGGGGCTGGGAATGTGGCTTAGTGGTAGAGTGCTTGCCTAGCATGCATGAAGCCCTGGGTTCAGTTCCTCAGTACCACATACACAGAAAAAGCTGGAAGTGGTGCTGTGGCTCAAGTGGTAGAGTGCTAGCTTTGAGCAAAAAGAAGCTGAGGGACAGTGCCCAGGCCCTGAGTTTAAGCCCCATGACCAGCAAAAAAAAGAGTCTCCAGGATATTTCTGTCCAGGTTGGCTTTGAACCAAGACACTCAGTTTTATCAGCCTCCTGACAGGATTCCAATTTTTGACTTTTATACAAAAGGTAGTGTTCCATAACTAACTTTTGGTCTATAAAAAAACACAGGAAAGGGCTGGGAAGGTGGCTCAGTGGTAGAGTGCTTGCCTTGCATGCCTGAGACCCTGGGTTCCATTCCTCAGCACCACATAAGCAAAAAGAAAAAAGCCGGAAGTGGTGCTATGGCTCAAGTGGTAGAGCGCTAGCCTTGAGCTGAAGAGCTAAGGGATAGTGCCCAGGCCTAGAGTTCAGGCCCCATGACCGGACCCAAAAAAATAAAAATAAAAATAATTAAAAAGAAAAAACTAAGGCAAATGATAAAGCATTAAAAAAAAACCCACAGGAAAAACCCTTTCTTGGTTTTATAATTATATCTCAGCCCACTGTATGGATTAATGAGATTGTGTTACATTCATAGTATTACAAGTTAATTTTCCTCATGTTTTTCTTTTTGCCAGTCCTATGGCTATAACTCTGGGCTTAGGTGATGTCCTTCAGCTTCTTTTTGCTTAAGGCTAGTGCTCTACCACAGGAGCCACAATGTCACTTCTGACTTTTTCTGTGATTAACTGGAGATAAGAGTCTGGTGGACTTTCCTGCCTGAGCTGGTTTTGAGCCATGATCCTCAGATCTTAGACTCTGAGTATACAATATTACAGGCATGACCCACTGGTACCCAGCCCTGTTTTAACCAAAATCATATGTACAGAACATAGCAAATTAAACATGATGTAATCTCTTCAAATAATCTACTGAATTCTTTGAGGGTGAGTCACGTTACTATCAAGACAACTGCTTTCTCCAAGAGGTATTAACAGGCTGTGGTAAATAATTTCAGGTAAATAATCCAGGAAGCCTGAACCAATATAGCAGGAACCCTAAGAGCACTGTGGATGATGACACTGGGGAAATTATCATATAATAATAAACTGATAAACCAGTGGCTCATGCCTGTAATCCTACCTACTCTGGAGGCTGAGATCGGAAAATCTCAATTCAAAGCCACCCTGGGCAGGAAACTCTGAGACTCTTATCTCCAATAAACCACTCAGAAAACCGGAAGTGGTCCTGTGGCTCAAGTGGTAGAGCGCTTGCCTTGAGCTGAAAAGCTGAGGGACAGCGCCCAGGCCCAGAGTTCAAGCCCCACGACCGACAAAAAAAAAAAAAAAAAAAAAGAATTTTGGTGATCAATAACTTTTAGGAGGAAGGGAAGCTGGGCATGATGGCACACACCAATAATTCCAAACTTTTAGTAGGCTGAGGTAGTTCTAAGCCAGTCTGGGCTTTATGGTGAAGTCCTTGATTCAAAGTGTTTCCTGTTTCTAAATCAAAGATTTCTATTGGGGAAAAAAAACTCAGGTTGAGAGGGAAAAAACAAAGTAGCTCTGATAAGATAAGTGCATAACTCACCAATACTCTGTCTCCAATTTTGAGCTCCCGTTCTCCTTTCTTTATTGAGCCAGCCTCTGAAAGGTTGGAGATTGATTCACTGGCAGTTTTTGTAAGGTTGCTGATCTGAGGTGTGGCTGTTTCCTTTGCTGTTGGCTGGGATGATTTATGGGGAATATTTGAGGGGGTGGCCTGGGAAGTGGACACCATGCTAGCTGCAGAAGTGGACAAAGGAGAAGCAGTTCTGGATGCATGAGCCATCTGCAAGCCATTGGCTTCATCTTCCGCTTGTACTTTTCTTGTTAACTTTGAAGGCCGAGTAAATATGCCCTTTAAAGGTTCACACTGAAAATACCGAACTCCTGCTACAGAACCATCGTTCTTGCCTATGGGTTCATCTAAAACAATTCCAGCCCACTGGCCTGGTGCAAACTGGGTTTCTCCAAGAAACTGGATAAACCCAGGCTTATTCCCATTCACCCAAACACGTTCTCCTACTCGAAAGTCATCCACAAATTCCTCTTGAGTCTCAGGAGATGGAGTGCTTGAAGCTTTTTCACTGGATATTGTTTTTTCTACTGGAGCTGAAGCTGAAAACAGAAAGTACAGAAGAGTCAATTTCATATTCAAGCAGCCATCCTCTAACTTAAAGTAAAATAGAAAAAGCAATGGCAACTGGAGTAGACAGAGTAGTTTTGGCTTCTTTGTAAGCCAGGTTATAGAGCAGATAGCGTACTTTCACTACCATTTTCAATGATGTCAAAACTCAGTGAACTAGGGAGTAAAAACTCAATGACCTTGCTGGATGCTAGTAGTTCACATCTGTAATCCTAGCTACTCAGGAGGCTGAGATCTGAAAATCGTGCTTAGAAGCCAACCTGAGCATGAAAGTCCATGAGACTCTCATCTCCAAAAAACTATTCAGAAAAGACTGGAAGTGGTACTGTGGCTCAAGTGGCATAGCACTAGCCTAGCGCAGAAGAAGTATAGGGTCAGTGCCTAAGCCCTGAGCTCAAGTCCAGTACCATCAAAATAAAACAAACAAAAAATAACAATGACAAAAACCATCAATGATCTTTATCTTTAGGTCAGATTCCACTTCTAACCTGCACATTAGATCCACTGAAATAGGCTGTATTCCAAGATTTGGGCAGTCAGTTAAAGCTGACAATACTTGGACCAGGGACAAGCACTAGTGGCTAATTACTCAGAAGGCTGAGATCTAGAGGACTGTAGTTTGAAGTCAGCATAAGCAAAAAAGTCTGCCAGACTCCGTCTCTAATTAACCAGCAAACAGTAGGGCTGGAAGCATGGCTTAAGTGCCAGCCAAGGAAGCAAAGCTAAGCAAGCACTAGACCCTGAGAGTTCAATCCCTGGTAGTGCCTCCAAAAAAAAAAAAAAAAAAAATACCCAGACGATTAATGGACCAAGTTAGTGATCAGATTTGAAAGGAGCCAGTGCTGTGGCCCCAGCTGTCATTAGTACACAATACTGCATTAATAATGATAGGGATAGAAATCACAGTAAAGGGCTGGGAAGGTGGCTCAGTGGTAGAGCGCTTGCCTTGCATGCATGAGGCCCTGGGTTCGATTCCTCAGCACCACATAAGCAAAAAGAAAAAAAGCCGGAAGTGGCACTGTGGCTCAAGTGGTAGAGTGCTAGCCTTGAGCTGAAGAGCTGAGGGACAGCACCCAGGCCCAGAGTTCAGGCCCCACAACCGGACCCCAAAAAAAAAAAAAGAAATCACAGTAAAGAAAAAAGTATAGTACGTGGCCAAATGTCTATGTAAAGTAACACAACTTTGTACACTCTCTCTACCCTAACAGAAAGACAGTAGTTACAATTTGTTTAAATATCTAGACTGGAAACTCAATCATATAGTCATCCAACAGGAATTTAGTAAATATTTAGTGTTAATTGATGAAGCATACATTTTTTTTTGGTCAGTCATGGGGGCTGAACTCTGGGCCTAGGCGCTTTCCCTCAGCTGTTCAGGTCATGGCTAGCACACTACCACTTGAGCCACAGCGCTACTTCCGGCTTTTTTCTGCATATGTGGTGCTAAGGAATGGAACCCAAGGCCTCATGCATGCAAAGCAAGCACTCTACCACTGAGCCAACTTCCCAGCCCGAAGCATACATTCTTAACCATCCTACCATTCAAAAGGCATATCATTATCTCAGGATGTAACACAACCTCTCTGAGTTTAATTTCTTCATCTATAAGGGGACAGTAACATCTCTCAAGGGCTTTTAAAATGAGGATTAAATGAAATACTGTATTTATTGATGCTATACATTTTCAATGAATTCCTGTCTACAAATAGTTCTCATAAAAACAAAGTGAGACAGCACAGCCTGTGCCCTAATAGAGACTGGAATCAAGGAGTTGGAAAATAGACAGGAAAGCAACACACCAGGTAGGCAGGAAGTGATGCTGTACAGGAAGAGCTGTCTTGGAAAAAGTCATCAGGGAAAGCCTAAGGCCTCCTGGACTTGTATTAGTGACCCACACAAAGTTGCAGAAGCTGTTGTTTATGTATTCTGAGCCTAAGGTATTTTGTATAGTAGGCTGAACAGACTGAGTTAACACATGTAAAATGTTGAGAATGTGTTGAACTGGCCTACAGCCAATCTGTCTGCTCCTCTGATGTCAGTGGCCACCACAAGACAATTAGTAACAACATTTTTTAAAGCAGACTAGTGGCGCTGATGGCTCAAACCTATAATCTCAGGAGGCTGAGATCTGAGGATCAGAGTTCAAAGCCAGCCCAGGCAAGAAAGTCCCTGAGACTCTTATCTCTAATTAACCACCAGAATACCAGAAGTGGCACTGTGGTTCAAAGTGGTAGAGTGATAGCCTTGAGCAAAAACAGCTCAGAGACAACACCCAGGCCCTTAGTTCAAGCCCCACCAGCACCAAAAACAAAAAATAAAATAAAAAACAAAAAAACAGACTAGTGTTTGTTTTCTCTAAACCCTAAGAAGAAAGTACCTGAGGAGTTTAAGAGGATACATAAGAGAGAATGAGAAAAAAAAAAAGTTCATGTTGTAGGGATCAAAGACTCAAGTGACTAAACTTGAAAGCTATTTTATGACTAAATTAACAAATTTTTTTTTTTTTTTTGGGTCATGGGGCTTGAACTCTGGGCTTGGGCGCTGTCCCTCAGCTCTTTAGCTCAAGGCAAGCGCTCTACCGCTTGAGTCACAGTGACACTTCTGGTTTTCTAGTGGTTTATTGGAGATAAGAGTCTCACGGGCTTTCCTGCCTGGGCTAGCTTTGAACCACAATCCTCAGATCTCAGCCTCCTGAGTAGCTAGGATTACAGGCCACCGGCGCCCAGCTCAAGCAAATTTTTTTAAAGTGATAACCTACAAAAAGATGACTATTCATTGATTAAGACTTCCAGATAGCCAGGTATGGTAGTACATGCCTGTAATCCCAGCCTCTCTAATGGATAGGCTGAGGCAAGAGGATTTCATATTCAAGACCAATCTGGGCTATGTCACAAAAAATAAATCTTTTTCCTTTTTTTTGTTTGAGAGATATGGAGCTTGAACCTAGGGCCTTAGTGCTATCCCTGAGCTCTTTTGTTGAAGGCTATGCTTTACCACTTTGAGCTACAGCACAACTTCCAGTTTTCTGATAGTTAACTAGAGATAAGAGTCTCATGGACTTTGCTGCTGGCTTTGAACCACTATCCTCAGGTCTCAGTCTCCCAAGCAGCTAGGATTACAGGCGTGAGTCACCAGGGTCTGGCAAATTCTGTCATTCTATAAAATTCATCAAAACTTTGTTCCAATATTTTTAAGTATACAAATTATTATGTAATTGTCTTTTTTCAAATAAAAATTTTGAGTTGAAGTCTTCATATATGAGGTATTAAAGAAAAAAAAAAAAAGCATTACCAGCAACAGGTGTCTTCAAGGCTGTACTTCCAGGCTTAAGGATCTTGGTGGGGGCCTTAAGCCCACTTGGTTTTAGCATACTCATTTTCTCTGTGGGTCAAAGCTGTTTTTCTTTTGTGTTGCCACTATTTTTCCCCAACCATCAATACAACTGTGGGTGTTTCTATGGTGAAGTTAGTTGCTGGATGAAATCTGCAAAAAGAAATATATGAAATGATTTTAGATGTATAGAAGAAAGAAAACACTCAGTCTTGGATTTTGAGACCAGCAAAAGCAACATAGCAAGAGACTATATCAACTAGAATCTAACAATGGGGCAAAAACTTAGAGAAAAGACAGCCTCTTCAACAAATGGTGCTGGAAAAACTGGTTTTCCATTTACAGGAGACTGAAACTGGATTCCTATCTCTCACCTTGTACAAAAATCAACTCCATACAGATCAAAGAGCTCAAAGTAAAACCTGAAACTTTACACCTAGAAAAAGTGTAGGAAAAACCCTGGAAGTTACAGGCACAGATAAATATTTTCTGAATAAGACTCTAGGTTATTCAGATGATAGCAAGAACTGACCAATGGGACTACACCAAATTAAAGGGTTCCTGAACAGCAAAAGAAAAAAAGAATATCAGAACCAGGTAGGAAAAAAATCTTTACAGCTATTTAATAGATAAAGGATTAATATCCAGAATATACATAGACCTTAAAAACTTAACGAGAATAACCCAATTAATAAATGAGCAAGTGAATTAAACAATTCTAAAAAGAAATACAAATGACTAAGAGATACATGAAGAAATCTTTATTATCCTTTACCATACACAGGAGATGCAAATCAAAACTATTTTAAGATTCCATATTATTCCAGTCACTAGGTTCAAACACTATCAGTGTGGAAGTTCAAGATCAGTGTGGAAGCTGGGTGCCGGTGGCTCAAGCCTGTAATCCTAGCTACTCAAGAAGCTGAGATCTGAGGATCGTGGTTCAAAGCCAGCCCATCAGGAAAGTCTCTGAGACTCTTATCTCCAATAAACCCTTAGAAAACTGGAAGTGGTATTGTGGCTCAAGCAGTAGAGCGCTTGCCTTGAGCTGAAGAGCGCAGGGACAGTGCCCAAGCCCAGAGTTCAAGCCTCATGACTAACCAAAAAAAAAAAAAAGATCAGTGTGGAAGTTCCTCAAAAACTAAAAATAGACCTACCTTCTGTCCCTGCCATACCACTACTGGGCAGATACCCACAGAGTGTAAATCAATATAGGAAAGAAGAATATCTGCACAACCACGTTTATTGAAGTATTGTTTACAATACCCAAACTGCAGAATCAGCCAATGTCCAACAGATTAGTACACAAAAAATGTGGTACATTGGCGATGAGGAGACGCCTACCGTACTGATCTACGGTGATGGTTCTATACGCTATTCTGAGCCGGCCGGCGGCGGCCTAAACCTGCGGGGAGTGATTGTGAGCGAACTAATGGATGCCTCTGCTCCCCTCCCCCCCCCCCCCCCCCCCCCCCCCGTAGTATGTGCTGACCTGATCCGAGGCGCCAAGGAGAAGAATCTCAAAGTGAAAGGACCGGTGCGCAAAAAATGTGGTACATATATATCATGAAATACTATACAGTCATAAAGAAAGATAAAATCATTTCATTTGTAAGAAAATGGAGTTGGAGACCATCATGTTGAAAGTCAAATGTCACATTTTCACTTCTTTGTAGAAGCTAGATCTAAAAGTCATGTTGTTCATGAATATATATCTATATCTATATATATGTAAATAAATATATATATACACACACACAGCTGGCCACTGGTAGCTCATGCCTGTAACCATAGCTTCTTAGGAGGTTAAGATCTAAGAATCAGGGTTTGAAACCAGCCTGGGCAGAAACCCTTTATCTCCAATTAACCACTGAAAAGACACAAGTGGAGCTGTGACTTAAGTGGTAAAGTGTTAGCCCTGAGCACAAAGCTCAGAGAACTGTCCCTGAGTAAAAGCCCCAGGACCAGCACTTTTTTTTTTTTTTTTGGTTGGTCATGGGGCTTGAACTCTGGGCCTGGGCGCTGTTCCTCAGCTCTTCAGCTCAAGGCTAGTGTTCTACCACTTAAGCCACAGTGACACTTCCAGTTTTCTGGTGATTTTCTGAAGATAAGAGTCTCACAGACTTTTCTACCTGGGCTGGCTTTGAACGCTGATCCTCAGATCTCAGCCTCCTGAATAGCTAGGATTACAGACGTGAGCCACAGGCGCCCAGCTAGGACCAGTAGAGGAGGAGAAGAAGGAGGAAGAAGAGGAGGGAGGGGGAAAGGGGGAAGGAGGAGGGGGAGGGGGGAAGAAAAGAGGGAGGGGGGGAGGGAGGGGGAGGAGGAGGGGGGAGGAAGAAGAGAAGGGAAGAGGGCAGAGGGAGGAGGGAGGGAGAGAAAAGACAAAAGAAAAGAAAAGAAATTTTCAATCTATCAAGTTTTTTGAATAAGAGAAGAAACTAGCTGGACACTGGTGGCTCACACCTGTAATCCTAGCTATTCAGGAGGCTGAGATCTGAGGATCATGGTTCAAAGTGGTTTATCTCCAATAAACCACTCAGAAAACGAAGTGGCACTGTGGCTCAAGTGGTAGAGCTCTCACCTTGAACTGAAGAGCTGAGGGACAGTGCCCAGACCCAGAGTTCAGGCCCCACGACCGACAAAAAAAAAAAAGAGAGAGAGAAGAAACTCATGACTATCTGAAAATCTTAAAATACTCTTTGCTTTCCTATATCTGTGAGACCCATTTCTTCATAAATTTCAATCCAAACAACCAGACAAAAATCAAATTGTCATAAGTCAGCCATTAAACAGATTTGCAAAACAAAAAGAAATGCCAGCACTGGTGACATGTAATCCTAGCTACAAGATCCTAGCTAGGATCTTGGTTCTATGCCAGCATCGGCAACAAAGTCTGTAAGACTCTATATCTCAATGGAAGGAACTAGGATATAGTAGCATGCTCCTGTTTTCCCAGACATGATGGGAAGTATAAAATAGGTGAATTATGGCCCAGGAACATGCCTTGGCAAAAATCAAGACTCTATCCAAAAATAAACAGTGCTTAAAAAAAAAAAAGGACGAAAGGTATGACTGAAGTGACTTCCTAGCAAATATAAAGCCCTACAGCCAAACCCAGCACCACCACCCAAAAAAAAATGCTGACTTGTCAATAAGGTTTCTTAGAAAAATTATTCATTAAAAGTTTATGTAAGGTTTAGGATGTAGCTCAGTGGCAAAGTGCTTGCCTAGCAAGTGCAACATCCTGGGTTCAATTCCCACCACCAAAAAAGAAAAGACAAAAAAAAATCTATGTAAGATGATTTTATTATTTCCAATGCATTAATTTTTTTTTCTGTCGGTCGTGGGGCTTGAACTCTGGGCCTGGGCACTTTCCTTCAGCTCTTCAGCTCAAGGCTAGTGCTCTACCACTTGAGCCACAGTGCCACTTCCAGTTTTCTGGTGCTTTATTGGAGATGAGTGTCACAGACTTTCCTGTCTGGGCTGGCTTTGAACCGCAATCCTCAGATTTCAGCTTCCTGAGTACCTAGGATTACAGCTGTGAGCCACCAGTGTGCAGCGTATTAATATTTTTAACAGGAGTTTTAATTTCTAATTCACAAATATCAATAGACATGAATGCTTTCCCCACTATTCCTATATTCATTTTTGCTTCACTTTTGGGGTCACAAAGGCTCAGAAGGAAGTCAAGAATCATGTGCCTTTAGTTGAGATTATTTAGAGACTTAAATGTCAAGTAAAAAGTTCAGTATAGGGCTGGGAAGGTGGCTCAGTGGTAGAGCGCTTGCCTTGCATGCTCAAGGCCCTGGGTTCGATTCCTCAGCACCACATAAGCAAAAAGAAAAAAGCCGGAAGTGGTGCTGTGGCTCAAGTGGTAGAGCGCTAGCCTTGAGCTGAAGAGCTGAGGGACAGCGCCCAGGCCCAGAGTTCAGGCCCCACGACAGGCCCCCCCAAAAAAAAATAAAAATTAAAAAAAGTTCAGTATATACTGCTTTCATTATATTAATGATCCAGCACTGCACTAGATGCTGAGTATAGAAAGCCTGAGGTTGCAACCTATGAGAAAACCAGGTGTGTGACACAGTCATAAGAATGCCAGCGTGCAGTAACAGGGGACTTATATACACAAGTCAGATGTTTCTATAGACCCTCAGCAGATGCACTAGTGCTCACAATGTGCAGCATCAGCATCACCAGCAACTTAAGACAAATGAAAACCTCCTATCTATTGAACAAACCATGGCTAGGTCAGCTACAGATTCTATCTAACAGGCCCTGCAGCTGATTCTGATGTTAGCATTTGAGAACCACTGTTAAATTATTGATCCAGAAGTGATGTGAGGGGTTCAGTTTCTCAGTTACATGCACATGAATCATGCACATGACTGCCTGGCAGGAGACCTCCCCACTGCATGCTTGTTCCAGGAGCACCCTTCACCCTGATGTCGTTCTCATGCTAGTTAGCTTCACCTGTCCACACCTTACTCCAGGGCATGCACAGGCATTCACCTTCCCAACAAAACCTACTAGTTCCTCATGAGTGCAAATCTGTTCATCCTTCCATTACCCATATACGACTCTACATTTCTCATAGCACCCAGAACACTATGTGTGGTAGTCCACACATAGACTATAAACCTTCTGGGAAGAAACTGTAAGCCAGTATTCTACATTTGCTCTTTCAAACATGGCAACCACTAGCTATATGTATGTACTATTTAAATTTAAATTCGGGGCTGGGAAGGTGGCGTAGTGGTAGTGTGCTTGCTTCCCATGCATGAAGCCCTGGGTTTAATTCCTCAGCACCACATACACAGAAAAAGCTGAAAGTGGCGCTGTGGCTCAAATGGTAGAACACTCGCCTTGAGCTGAAGAGCTGAGGGAAGGCGCCCAGGCCCAGAGTTCAAGCCCCATGACCGATCAAAAAAATAAATAATAAATTTTTTTCAAAAATGAAATAAAATTAAAACCCAACTAGGTGTAGGTGGCTCATGTCTATAATCCTCGGTACTCAGTTCACTGAAATCTGGAAGGGGCTCATATGCCCATACACACACACCTTTTAAATTTTTATTTATTTATTTATCTATTGACAATACTGGGGTTTTGAACTGAGAGGCATATCTGCTAAGTATTAGCTCTACCACTTG